AAGGTAGATGAGGGAGTGAAAATCTACCTGTCCTGGTAAACATCCAGAGATGACTTCGGTGGTTTCTGCTGGAAACAGAAGACTTCTAAGACAAACTGGCAATAAATTAATTAGACAAATGGGCTTGCAGATGAAGCTCAATGAAAGAAAATCCACTGAGAGGCTGTGGAATTCACTGCAGAAGCTGAGTCTTCTTGCATATGTGCCTCAGAACTGGAAGCAGTTATTGGTGAAGAAGATGGAACTGAAATATCACAAGCCTCTAAATACATCTGTGTTCAATACATATTACAGAGAAGGAGATTTTGATCTGTCTCCTGGCTGATGATTTTCTGTTCTTTCTAGGATAGAACTAATTTCTAAAATGAGAAAAATTAGAAGTAATGGAACAAATCTGTTGTTGACTGATACTATGAAAATCTATATAAAATGAACCGAGACATATAAATAAAGTACTTGAAATTAAGGAAGATGCCTAGATAGTTGTGAGGATATATGAGCTCATTATTGCTTTGGATTTCTTTTTGTGATGAAGTATGAGTACTGAATGCCCTCAAAATATCCTACAAAGTCAGGTTGTGGAAATCCATTTTTAAGATGAAGTTCAGGTCATCAAAGGAAAAGATCTATAAAAAGGCAAGTGATTTGCAATGGACAGATTATCCTGTCTCTTAAAATCACAGATCGGTGTAGCTACCTGCTGCAGCAGTTTCTTAGAAAAGGAAGGAGAAGATTAAGTGAAACAATTTTCATAAAGGAATTCTAGTTGCTGAAGTCTTTTTGGCTTTGAACGAGAGGTGGATGCTTGTTTACTTGCAGAACACTTTTGATGAGCAAAAAAACCCACAAGCAAAACATGAGTCAATGTATCTAGTAAGTACATATATACAAGAAAACTACTGGGGCAAAAATGAGCTTATTTTGATGCTGAATTTACTCTGTATTACTGTAATATTAAATGTAAGACAAGGGATGATCTAAGAAACTTATTGTTGTAAAGCAATCATCCTGATCAAGTATGGATCCTGTAGGGAAATACTTTATTGAACAGCTCCCTCACTGTTTATCTGCTGCAAAGATGGTATGTCCTCTGAGCCATCAGACAATTAATTGTGCCTTCTTCAGTGCTGAGCCTAACCCATTGTGATGAAGAAAAATAAAAGCAGATTCAGTGGGCTGCTGAATGGAAGTTTACAGGAAGATTCTTGCTCACTAAGAAAGAGATGGAACCAGAGATGCTTGGTGTGAAGAGAAAGCTGATCGAAAGGCCTACAGAGGGCTGCCCACAGCAGGCTAGGGCCTGTGGCAAAAAAACATGCAATAGTGAAAAAAAAACTGGAAATTGTGCTCTGTGGCACATTCTGTTTGCTAGACCTAGGCAGTATGTGGTGCACATTAATATCTCAGTGAAAATCAATACAGCTACCAAGAGTCATAGTAAGATTTCTTACTCAGTGCTGTACCAGTGAGGTACAGCCTGCTAAAAAAGAGACAACTGTGCACATACTGGGTGCATACCTGGTAGTCTGAAAAAAAAAAAAAAGGAGCCAGGATCTGCTCTGTCCAACTCCATGAATAAACAGCCACATTTCATAAAACTTTTGTTACAGAGTAGTCACTTGAAAGTTCAGCAGTAGTGCAAAAGCTAGATAGATGGGAGTCTCTTCAGAGTTGAACAAAGTTTAGCATTTTTACGGTACTTAAAGGCTCTCATCTGAGCCTGTTTCAGACAGCTTTTAGTGTAGATTCTGATACTTATGCTTTGAGAAAATATTGATGAACGAATCAATATTAAGTGTGCTGTTTAGAGCAAATCATAGAATCATATCATAGAATCACAAGATTGGAAACATGTAAGTAAGAATTATTTCCTTCAGGTTTTGTCTTGGAGAACAGGAACGTTGTAGGAGGTGCACCTCTCCCCCGTGGTTTGTTACTTTTGTGAATGATGAAGACTGAAAAATGCCCTGCAAAGTTTTAACAATTATCTATAGCAAAGCTCATGTCTAAGCAAGAAGCTTGGATGGAAACAGATGCTACCTGAAAACGATGGAAAGGAACTGACTGATTAAAAATGGAAAATTTGTTTAGAAATGTATAGCTATCACTTTGAGCTTTTTCTCATTTAAGGAGAAAGCCAGTAAACAGATCTTGAAGAGCAGAATCCTGAATTTTAACGGCTTCTTTTTTACCTGAAGGAATCAAGCAATTCAGTGGGCCAAGCTGAAAGAGTGTTAAACTGATGGAGGTGGAGAGGAGGGAAAGAAGTGTTCCTTATGGCTATTTCCGAATCTTAAAATACCCATGAAGAAACTGAATCCAGAACACATGCCTCAGGAATGACATCTTTAAATTGAACACAGTTCAATTAGGTGCCAGAGAAATGGGAATCAGAGAAACGATGGGAACTCATTCATTGAGATCTTGTCCAGTTTTCCATTTCTAAAGGGTTATGAAATAGGAAAGATTCCTCTAAATTTTGGGTTGGTAATTTGAAAAGGTCTTGAAATAAATACAGCATATAAATGCTATTATTTTTAAGTAGTTTTTATTTTGTAAACAACTTCTTTCTGCTGCTGTGGACCTACTTGCCATTCTAGATTCTGAGATTATTGTGACAGACTAAAAGTGTTGATATGATACAGTGTGGGTGACATAGCACAGTGTATCTGCTAATACTCTTCCTTTAGACTAAATGTAAAAGCTGTTGTGAGTTCTCTATTCACAAGAAGACAACTGAAGCTCTAGAGGCTCTTTAAAGCACAGACATTGCATAGAGCTGACCGTGGATTTGTGCACAGGTGGGTCTGAATGAAAATCCAGTGATCTGAAAGGAGCTGTGTGTGTGTGGGTGTGAATGGGAGTTCTAGAGAAGCAGCACAGCAGTGCATAGGTAAGCAGCAAAGAAACTCTGGAGGAGCCCTTGAAACAGAATGCCTGGGAAAACAAAAAGTCCAAAGAGTACAATGGGACAAAATGCCATAAAGGAAAAGGCTGGGAAGCACGAGCTCCATGGAAAATGCTCTCCTTCATTTGCGTCATATTGAATTTAGGACAACAGAACTGTATGTATGTTATTCATAAATAAACATGATTGCGCCAAAGAAATAACTGACTTAAAATTGTTTTTCTATCTATGTGACCCTTTTTATTTTTTTTTAGCTTGCTGGTTGGGTCCAAAGGATAGCCATGATTTGGATGGCTTGGGAAATCTAGTTCAACTGTGTGAAACCAGCAAATCCCCATAGAGGGGAGTTTTGTGAATAGAGTTTTGCCTTTTTCCCCCCCTCCCTTTTCCTCTCTTCCACCTGATAGTAGAGTGACTTTTTACCGAGTATCTGGGCTACCATTAAGGGACTTGGAGAAAACAGATTAACAGGTAAGAAATGAGTTATGTTAATGGAATGTACATTTTAAAAAGGCAAAGTGGTCCTTTTAGACAAAGTCTAAGTAAAGTGGTTATAATGTTTTCATGTGCAATGACTGCATATAAATTACAGGAAAATAAAAAGTTACTGTTTGTTTTTATATCTCTTTTTTGGTGCAATAATTATGGTATTGGTAAGGTATGGAAGTGGCCTAATTGTTGTAGTTGTGACCTCTAAATTATTGTTAATGTTACTGTCAGTATGTGCTTCACATCTCCTCCTTAATGGTATGTAAATTGTACAGCAGAATGTCACATTCTCCAACATACAGATTCCCTATTTCAATTACAGCGAAGTAAATCTCCATTACTAATGAGTAAGCATTTCTTTTCCATGTACATTTGCATTATAATGGACATTTTCTTTATGCACTAAAACTATTCTTTCCTTGACAACAACTTTATATTTCATTTTACAGTAAAGGCTACGACATGGTGATTCATTCTTTTCTGTTGGGTTTATCTCTTTTTGAAGTGTCAAATGTTCTAGGTAGCCTGACATTTTCTGTCCTATGTTATTTTTTCTGTTCTTCCAGAATAAATATGTGTATATCCTTTAAGACAACCTACTTAATGCAAATCGTGAAAAAGTAAGCTTATGTGTCAGTCATAAGTTAAGCCATATTTCAGAATTGTTGCTTTGTTTCGTCCATGTTGCTGAGAAATCTCGACTGCTATCTATGTCAGTGCAAAGTGACCTTTGTGATATAATGTTTGACCGATTTGAATATAAAGAACAAGTGACCACAAGTGACCCATATTGCTGCAAGATTTCACTCTGCTTAACAGAGCGTAGCTCTTTGGCTATTAAATCCCCCAAACAGACATTTGCTGCCCTGCGAATGTGTATGTCTACAAATGCAATGGGCAGCTGAGTAAAACAAAGGGGAAAGGCCTCCTGTTCCATCTGAGCTATGTGGCTCTGCTGCCAATCCTGCTCCCTCCCACGAGCTGTGGGCAGTCCCTGGGTACCACTGGACTTGGGCAGCTGGCTCCAGCCAATGGAGGATTCCCTTGGTGACCCAGGGGCTTCCCCTGCCCTTCATCAGGGAGCGAGAATATTGGCAAGCTGAGTCCCTATGGTGGAGATCCTGCCTTCATTCTGGATAGCCCCAGGAACACGTGTCCCCTTTTGTAAAACTATGAGGACAGTGAGTTTTATTGATAAAGTGGGAATTTCATCTTTGATCACATGCAGTTTGATTTCATTGGGGATCTGTGCTGTAAATCACTTTACAGAAGCCAACACAGCTTTCTGTATCATTGATTAATAATCATTAATATTCTTGAACATTTCTAAGTTTCCCTGGTGGTGGGTGTATATATGGGGAAGAAGATGGGTGTTGGGTTCTTTTAATCATATAAGTACCTGGGATGTTGTAAAGAGACAGAATGTGGTTAAAACATTAGGTATCGTTCCAGAAATGCAGGAAGAAATGTATGCAGCCAGATGTTAGAAGTAACATTGATTTCCTGGTCACTGTGCATGAATTCTTTCTAGCCTTGTGTATATCCTGATAATCGGACGGATTACAGCATAGATACAAAGTTTGTTTTGTTTTTATTTTGAAAGGCCTACGGTATGCAGCCTTTTTCCCAGACAGCAGCAAAAAACAAGGTGAACAATTTTTGCACTATGTGGTTTTGAATTCTGTCATATTTTCTATTACGTTTCTGTCTTCCATTAGGATAGCTTAGTTTGCTATATTAACCACCACCATCATCCATATCACTTCCAATTCTGAGTTTAGTCTGCATTATGTATGTATCTAGTTTGATGATTTTTCTCTCTCCTGGGGGCTGGAAGTGGTTACTCACACGTTACATACAGTTCAAGATGTTGTTACAATGGTTGCCCTTTAATCAGTCATTTTTGGAGTGGCTGATGACACCTGGTGGTGTATATCGTAAATGCAGACTTAACCGCGTTTGCAGCTGGCGGAGGATGTTGACCTGTCCTACCCCGAGCACTGGCAGGCAGTTTGAGCTCTATAAATGAATCTGGTCTCCTGCACGAAAAAATCTCCTGGGAGCACATTCTCCTCCCATTCAAACACATGCAAACCGAGAGAAGCAGTAACATTTCCCTGCTGCTGGAGCAAAATTACTGCCTCTGTCCTTGCTATTGAAGTTAATAGTATAGCTTCTCACAAGGGCTATGTACCTTTTTTATTTTCTTTATTAACTTTATGGATATGTTGCATAAATGAATGTTTTATATATACTTATGTACTAAATATACTGCATTAAATTAAAAATCTCTGTGAAAAACCTAGTGATGCCTAGTTAGAACTAATGATATTTTCAAAACTTTTGATTGGGACTACTCAAGAAAGCTTCTTCTGGTGTTTTATTTAACATCATCATGGTTTCTGGCTTGAGCGCATGGTTTTTCTTGCCAGCGAGTAAGTTTCCCTATGTTTATTAAATTCCACATCTCTTTGCCAGCATATTTCCTAACAATGGAATATCTGGAATATACCAATAAGTAACCAGTATGAATAAAAAGGAAAAATCCTGGAATCCTTTTTCTGCAGTAAAATTCCTCAGTAGCCAGAATCTCTTGGGCTCTTCTCCATTTGATTTTTCTCTGGATAAAACTTCAGTCAAACCTTTCCTGCTTAATTGGCCCTTTATCACTTATTTATTTATTTATTTATCTTGCAGTTCCATAAAGAAGTATTACATTAAATATTGAATATCCTCATTTTTGTCAATCTGCAGAGAAACCGCATGCATCTACAATGCAGTATCTTTAGTTATTTCTAAAATATTGCAAAGAAAGGACTCTCAAAGTGTTCTGCCACTGGATTTTGTTGAAGGGGAAAGATTTGGTGAAATGAGAATACATTCTTTATAGCTAAATTAAGTGGTATTGTTTTGCCATTCTGAGATACACAGAATTGATATGTAAAACTAAATAAGAAACAAAACCAGTAGAAAGTCACGTTACACTGTTAATCTGAACAACAAAGGAGAATGAAGGTCTGAGTCAGAAATTGGTTAAGGATCTTTTTTTGGTGTTTTATTGGTTTGTTTCTCCTAAACTTACTGCTCCAACATTCATGGGTATAAACTTTAGTGTAGCTAATTGGAATTGTCCTAAAATGTCTCGTATTTGTGGAGGACTCTGGTCAGATGAGTTATGTACAGGATACAGCTGCTTCAGCCTGAGGACTAGAGGTTCCACTTTGTAGCACTTCTTACCCCACACCATGAAGGGGACCTGACACCTATGGGCCTGAGGGGCTCTGCTTCCCAGGCATGGGAAAAGAGAATTGGACAAAAGATTGTTCAGGCCAGCGGAGGGAGTTGCAAACTCCACCTTTACAACGTGACATTAAAAAAGCTCGATCCGATATTTATCAAGATTCTTGAAGAATAGCAATAATTTTTTCAGACATCTGAACCCACTGAAAAGTGACATTTGGACATTAAAAGGCATTGGGAATTTAATCTGAGATATGACAGTTTTTTTGTCTTCAAAGTGTAAGGAAAAGTATGGCATTTCAGATAACAAACACTGGCAATTCTGTCTGGTTTTAGTGCTAGAGATTCCTAGAGCAAAATTCTGCCTCCAAATTATATGCATGCTACTCTCAATTACTTCATCAAAGCTTATGCACATGTTTCAAAGGTCAGAATTTGGCCACTGGGACTGAATATTCAAGAAAGAGTGTATTAAAGACATCTGTATATCAGCAGAACCACATCCTTTGTCTTCTGTAGGACATTTCAGGAATAAGTGCTGTTGGGCACTGCAAATGAAACAGTTTCTATTTTTTGAATTGTATTGAGATTGCTTAGCAAAAACATTTCTTGCAATTTTAGGTTAATGATTTCATGTATTCTTTGTAACTTAACACTGAAAAGTTGTCAGTTTAAAGAGAATAAAGACTGGAAGGGGCCACCCTTCAGAATATTACAGTTGAAAATACACTGTAACAATCAAACCAAGGGGACATAGTCTGAGGAAATAGGTACGCTCAATTGAAGTGCACAGCCTTTTGTTTGTAGTCTAATACAGAGAGGTCGACAACAGTGTTGTACACGAAGGTAGAAAACAAACCCAAAACTTTTCATTGTGGACAGAGCTTATATTTGAAATTATGTTACCGATCAGACACTTGAAAAAGCTAAAACTTGGCATTCGCATGCTGTTTGAGTTAGCACATATTAAATTGATGAAGATCTTTAAGCATGTAGGTTTTCCCCTGTTTTTTAAACATTATACACTTCTTAAACTGTTTATAATGTCTAATTGCTGCTGAATTTCAAGACATATATCAATTTTGTTCTTAGTTCCTGAAGATTTTGACAGAATATCATACCAAAATATTTTGTATTTTTTGTAGGACTGGGAAACAGAAAATCATGACTGGTATTGTTTTGAATGCCATTTGCCTGGAGAGGTGTTGATATGTGACCTGTGTTTTCGTGTGTATCATTCCAAGTGTTTGTCTGATGAGTTCAGGCTTAGAGACAGCAGTAGTCACTGGCAGTGCCCAGTTTGCAGGGTGAGTACCTATGAGCTTTCATGTGCTGATTAGAGGGTTGGTATTCATGAATAGTTTCATTAAGGTGTCCAGATGGTCTGGCCAGGTTAATGGATAAAGAACTGAATATTTTAACAATGGTACATACCTAGAGCATCTGTACAGAGATACTAAATTATGGTGCATGTAGCAGATGGTTATTTTTGAAGACTCCAGCAAGTTTTACTTATACATTTGACAGCACACAGTATACTGTGTGGGAATGTGTGTATGTATGTATGCAATGTATGAATGCAGTATATTGTGGAAATCTTCAACATGAGTAAGTAGATTGCTGTATAAGATGCTGCTGTTTATACTTAACCTCATTTTAATGAATCATAATGCAATTTTTTTTTTTTTTTTTTGTATTTTGACTGCATTCCTACTATTTTATTAGAATCATATTTTACATTATAAAGCCACAATCATGTTGCTGACAACTGCAGTATCTGAAACAAAAGGGTGAAATTCTGCTTTTCATTTACTCCTATGCATTTATTGGCATGAAAAAAGTCAATATGGATTTCACCCATCGCATCTGTACCTATACTGCTTTTTCTTTACAGTTGTTTCTCTTATGAATATAGTAAGGTGAGAGCAGTTATTTCTTACATACGTTAGAAGAACAAGCAGGTATGTTGTCTGAGTGTTGTTAGAAGAGTAGACATATGTTATGGAAGTGTTTGCTGGTACCCAGCCTTGCATCAGCCAGATGTTTTTCCTAACTGTTGTCATCTCCGCATAGCCTCTCACAGTGCACCACATTTCTAGGCTTCCTTCAACAGGGAAGAAAGTATGAGTGAGTAAGACAAAATTATTGATATAAAAGGCATAATGCCAGTTGCCCTCTACCTTGGGTTACTGGAGGGAGAGGAAGCTCCTTGCCAAAGGCTGAGGTCTAGCTGTAGGGCAGCGGACTGACCTTCAGATGATCTCTGCTGTAACCAGTATTAGGGGTTGGTGCTTCTTAAGCACGGAGAAGTGTTGTGTTTGGTATTCTTTTTAACATATGGATTGTTTTGTTTCAAAACAATACTTTCTGACTGCTGTTACCTTAGAACCAGTTGTAAAAGCCTGACACCTTCTGCCTCAGAGTGGGAGCTCTCAGGGTTTAGGGAAATACCAAAAATAAGAAGTGTAAGGGAAGTGTTAGGGAATTAAAAACTATACTGGTGGCTGGGAGCGAGCAGTTAAGAATAAAGACATGTACTGTATCCTCCTGTATCGAAGTAGCAGCATTTAATTTAACTACTCAGTATTCTCTCTGTTAAAAACAAAGAATGGTAGTATATACATGAATTGCTTTTAGATTTTTAAAGTAATCAGCTTAATAATTGTTGTTTCCCATAATAAATATTAATAGTTCTTACAAATAGTTAAGACCAGATAAACCTGATCCAGTCTCCACTCTAATTTGCAAACAATTTTAGATGACACTTGGTGAAAGAGGGAATGTAAATGAATTAAGCCACCTTGTGTGTTAGGAGGCTTATGGCATCTTATAAGATGGATGTCTGCAGAATGGAAGAGCTGAACCGCTGCATGCGGAGTGCACAGATTTGTGGGGTGCTCTGCTCTGAGCTCAGCTGGACTTTCTTCTTAGAGCTCTGAGATACATTATGGCACTGATATTAAACAAATATTTACCTTTAAGAAAATGTTATGAATCTTAGACCGTATGTAGTGTGTCCTTTTGCCTATCGATTCCCTTTTTGTTATACAAGGAGAGGTTTGGGGTTATGTTACATCCTTCCTGCTCCAGAAACTTTTGACTTGCTCAGTGCCTTGAGTGATAACCAATGTATAAGAATGCTGCCATTTTGAATGCCATGCCATCCCTTTTTCCCTTGTGCTGGCATCTCTTCCGACAATTACTCCAATTCATTTGAAGCCCTAAGTTTGCAAACTGGGATTAATGAGGTTTGCACAGTCCCTGGGAGCAAGGAAGAGGTCTAGATGAGAATTAGCATGCTTGTGTCAGGTTTCAGTATTCTTCCACTGCTTTCCCCCCAGCTTCCTAGGAACAGACTGCTCTAATTTTATTTTAAAAGAACGAGAGAGGCCTATATTCAAAATAGTATGGTAGTTTAGAGAACCCTGGCTGGTATCCAGAGGACATAACAGAGCTTAACTATCTCGTGTAAGGACAATGGGATTTACTTTGTGTTATCTGCAGTAAATATGGATGTTCAAGGAAAGAAGTAGGGACAAAGAGATGTGTATATTTTGTACTTTTTTTCTTGTGACTGGACATAGAACATTTTACCAAGGGATCTCCAAGTTCTTTACCAAGGTGAAGTGCACATATGTTTGAAACCTAATATATTGGAAGAAATAATTTAAGAACACTTCATTCTTATGTAAAGATTGCTTCTGTAATGCTGCCAAGGTCAGCAAGCCTTTGGATTATTTGTTTCACAATTGCTGGCTGTACTAGTTCAATCAACCTGTGCAGCTTTATCTTGCACACTTGACTACTCAGAAGCATTTTATAAAGGACGTTGCCAAGGATTTGTTCATAACTTGAAAAAATTTTTTCTCCTGTAACGTTTAGAACAGTCCCTCACAAGCTGTGCTCTGAACTCTGTTTCCCTGCTGGCAATTTTTCCCCACTGCATCCATAAGCAAGAATGTCTCATTCTTGGCTTTTTTTTTTTTTTTTTTTAATTTCACGGAACCAATCTGAATATTTTATACCCTACATAATTCTCAGCAGGAGACAAGAGTCAAGCAAAGTTCAACTCAAACCATACTGCAGTGATTGAAGATGCTCCCTGACTGCTGACTAATCACTGTCTTAAGTGAAATAAATTGGTATTATCATCAAAATTCCTGGTAGATAGGTCACTAGGGAAAGATGGTATCAAGTGGACTTAGAGATTGCATTAGCCTTTTCCCACTACTGGCATGGTTTGTGCAATACAGCGTTAGTCTGCTGGGTCTCTGAAGGATGCAGGAGACTTGTGTGCTTATTGCCACTCTTTGGTTGGATAAAGAGAGGAAATTAATCTTATCCAGTGGTTAATTTAGTACCTCAAAGCTGCATAAAGTACTGCAAAAATGCAGTGTTTTGTTGTTGTTGTTGTTGTTTGTGAAAATAGATGTATAAAAGAAATCTGAACAGGAGAAAATTGATCCCAGATCAAATAGCTACCTGTGATTAATACTTAAAAAAAATGTTTTTTAATATTTTTTTAGAAAGGCAAAAATATGCATGGTGATATATTTTGTCCCAGAGGAATACATTTTTTATTTGTGAAACAGAAAGGAAGAATTAGTGTTGGTTTCACTTGTCTCCCTGGGCTGTTTTGTTGTTTTTGTTGTTGCTGTTGTCAGGTTTTTTTGCAAACGTCTGATCAGGCATTGATCTGTCATACATGTGCTGTGCAAGGAATTATAACCAATTTACCTGTGGTAGTAGGTTATTCAGTATTTCTGTGTTTTCTGCATATGCAAGCAAAGTAAAGTGTAGAGCTTAAGATATGAAATACTGTGCTGATATGTGTTCCATAAATAGGTTGTTTTGGAGTACTGGTACTGTAGTGAACATTTCGTAGGGTACATAAAAATTCTCCATCATGCAGTTCACAGTTAGCAATAGGTGTAACATGACAAGTGAGAATGACAAATGATAGAAAATTAGAAATACAGGCATATGAAGATTACTGAGGTGAAGTAGATCTAGAACTTTCTATGTAGAAAACTATCACAGCCAGAACCTGTACAATAACTACATGATGGAACATATTCCATAAATAGGGTCTGGCATATTTATACAAATTATACCTATGCATTAGCATCAAATTCCTCTGTAAATTTAAGCCCTAAAAAAATCGGAGGGCCAGCAGGTAAATCAGAGAGCTTATAAACAACATTGGTGAATAAATGGTAGGCTTGTACACTTAGTTCTCCTCTGTGGATGCACCCCTGGAAATCTGAACTGCTTCTGGAAATGGAACTGGTGACTTAGAAAGATGGTCTGTCACTGAGCAGCCTTCACTTAATCCATCACTGAGCGGCTTCCTGCTCTAGTGTGGAGCTCTTCAGTGTGTGCATACACTGACAGTTGAGAGAAGAATGGGAAAAAAGGTTAATCAGAGACCGTAAGGAAAACTCTGTACCTCAGAGTGTGAAGCACCATAAACAGTGCTCCTTCAGGACGGAGTTTTTCCTGGGAGTCCCCTCAGCTGGTGCTGACCTCAGGGAGTTCATAAAGCCTTGCAGTGATTTCCTGCACTGTGCATGTCAGGGTTGCTAAGTCACTTGCACCTTCACAGTGCAGTGTATTGCCACCCTCTTTCCCAGCGAAGCACTTCTGTTAATCTGGGATAATGAATGCAAACAGTAACATAAATCCAGTCTTCAGGTAACAATTTCTAAAAAATAGATGTGCCACAGAGAGTAAATGCATATATAAGGTATTTCCTGCACCTCCCAGCAGAGTCAGCTTGCAGCTTTGGCCTTCTGCCCACCAGATGTTATGAATCTTCTACATGAGGATTGCTATGGTCAAGTGTTGCACTCCTGCACCCACAGTGTAAACATCAATGCCTGGCACTTGACTATGATTCAAAGAGGAAAGGCTGCTGATTTCACTGTAAGTTGGTGTGACTTGGAAATAATCCCTGCTGGGGGATAACCCTGGTAGGTAGCTGAGCACCATGCAGCCTCTCGCATGCTTCACCCCTTTGCTCCTTGGTGGGAACAGGTGAAGAGGAAAGGAGGAGTAAAAGCAAGAAAACCTTGCAAGGTGAGAAGTGGAAGAAGAAAAGAAACAAAGTAAAACAGAAAAAGTGATGCAAAAGCAATTGCTCAGCACCTCCTATGGGTAAACCAGTAGCCAGAACCTGAGCTAAAGATGGATAACCTCCACAAAGCACCCATTTTTCCTTTTTATTACTGAGCACCATCGAATTAGAGAATTGTAGAATCGTTAAGGTTGAAAGAGAACACTAGGATCATGTAGTCCAACCATAGATCCGGCCAGTCAAACCGTGATGTTACACGAGTGAGGATATCTGTTGTCAGTTTGGGTTATCTACCTGGTTGTATCCCTTCCCAACTTCTTGCATGCTATCCATTCACTTGGGTAAACAGAGAAACAGAGAAGTCCTTGATATTCTGCAAACACTGTTGATCCATAGCTAGAACATCCCTGTGTTATCAGCACAGTTTTGGTGACACATCTAAAACCCAGCTCCATAAGAGCTGCTGTGAAGAAAATTAACTGCATTCCAACCAGAAGCAGTACAATACGTATATTGAATGATCCTGAAATGATCTGTTTGGGTTGGATTGAATCTTAAGAGTCTCTTAAAAAAGGTTTTCAATAGTGTGTCTTAGTAGATCTGACTGTGAGAAAAGGTATGCAGTAGACATTGCCACTTTTACAATGTCACGAGTCACCAGTGTTGTTTTCCTTTCCTAAAAGTAGAAAATTGAAAGACATAATTTTCATCTGTACTTGCTTTTATACCACTCTGTCTGTAAAGGGACCTGAAAGTGGGTAAATTTGCTTATCTCAGAACAATAGAATTTGATTTTATGTTAAAGATATCCCTCATCTGTCAACGGTTTACGGGCTGGTTCGGCCCAGTTCCGTGACCAGCGGGGCGGAGGGATCCGCAGATCCGCGCCTCCGGAAAAAGGGAACAGGGCACCCCAAAATAATTAAAAACAGCAGCAACGATCTGAGGAGAAACAAACTAATTTACTAAATATAGTATCGGAATGCAAGATAACACACTATAATACAATATAATTAAATTTGAAGCTAATAAATCAAATATAATGAGAGAGAGAATGTCCGAAAGGTGGGTAGGCCTCACCACAACGCGGAGAGCTGAGGTGAGATGCGCAGTCCAGTTGAGCAGCAGGGAGAAAAGGGAGGAGAGCCGACGAAGAGCAGGCTAAGAAGAGTGCATCAGGTGACCTTGCCAGGAGTTGTATCTTGAGACTCTCTGTGACCGCAAAGTCCCCTGGGGAATGTAGTTCTTCTTCTCTTCCAGGCAGGTACCCAGAGCTTGAGCACCAACAGTTAAACTCCCACTGCCCCACATGATGTTATGATGTGGAATACCGAAAACCAAAAATCACAAAACAATAACACTCATCTAATATTAATTATTCTTTAAGTGTGTCTAGTTTGACTAATCCCAGAGAAAGACAAGTCTTGAAAACACATATTACTTTTATGAAAAAAAATCCATGTTTTTGATCATAGCTTCCAAACCATGTGTTAGGTATGTCCTAGAAAGTAAACTTGTTCAAAAGTGGATGAAGTGGTTTAATTATACATTTCTACCAAGGGTAAGTAACCTTGGCATAAAAAGACGTTGTGCTGGCACATGGGCTTCTATTCCCTAATTCATTACATTTCAGGATTTAGAAAAACAACCTGAAGATCTTTTTTATTTTTTCTTTTCTTAAATCAGTATAAAGAATTGAAGAAAAAGTAGAGAAATTCAAGTTTGCCTGAATTGGCAAGTTAATTATATCATTTTCATTGGTGCTTAAGATTATATTAATTGCTGACATCAATAATGACAGAAAGCCACCTATCTATCTTTCATTATGATCTGAAGGATAAGTCTGTAAACCGTCTATCTTAACACAGTCTCTTACAAACTGTGTTGCCCATCAGGGCATGAAAAAAGGTCTACATGAATTTTGAAGTAGGGATGATATATTCAGTCAGATATATGATATATGATATATTCGTGTCAGAAAGAGACTTGTTTCTGCAAGTTAATTTTATTGCATCCTTCGAAGCCTGTTAAAATGGTACGTCATTGGCAAGCATACAGCACTCTTGCCTAAAATGACAAAATGACAGCTGCATTTCATTGTGCAGAAAATTTAATGCGTTGCAGCTGAGTAGGAATATTGTTTTATGCAAAACTGAATAGATAATTGAATTTGAGTAGAATGCATGTTCTTGTGGCGGATTACTTTTTCTGCCATGTTTACTTTAAAGAGATACTCAGGTGATTCAAATGTAGGGCTCAGAGTAAAATTCTGTGTCATTCCAAAACCTGGGCAGACAGTCTAGGAAGCATTAACACTATGAAAATAATGCTAAAATGTGATAGGAGAGTTAGAAAGATCTGCTGGCCCTTTCCACAGTATTGCACTTTGCCCAGCAGCAGCATTGTCCTTTCAGGAAAAAGCTGTAGTGCTGCTTTGCATACAGCAGTGTCTGTGTAGGTTCATGATTATGGGGCAGAGGTTATTGAAGGTACACTCTGTAGCTTGCAATGGTGAGGTAGAAATTTTTCAGCACAGACTGATGATTTTATGTGTACTGCTAAACAATTGAATAAACACCTTCATAGGTAGTGCTATGTACAGATTTTATTTAATTTGAGAAGGAGGTAGTAAGTGCAGGCCTGAGATGCATAGGTTACACTCTTGCTGTAGCACCAGGGCCAGTCTGTGATTTCAGTGTCTTCAGTGTCTTTCAGAAGGAATGAAAGCAGAGCAGACTCAATCAGAAATCAAATTTCTATCCATTTGTCTTTTTTTTTTTTTTTGTATTAGCATGTAATTTGTGCTCTGCTAAGTAAATATGCAAAAATAGTTGCTCTGTGCTCAACACATATCTTCCCTCTCTCTGTGTTCAGGGTCTGTTATGAATAATTAAAAAAAAAAAAACCCAAAACCTCACTTCTACTGATTAATAGTTTGTAAGCCTCTTAACCTCTCTTAGTTACCCATTAGGTACCCATGTGGTACTATGTGGCAAACTGGATTCTATTACTTCATGTACATCATACCTAATATTGTTTGCTAAGCAGCAGTCATACATAGTTATGTGGATCCTGCTGAAGACAATCAAAGTTTGAAGAGGCAGGTGTAGCTCAAAGTGTTTGGTCCCCACACTTTGCATACAGGTGATGATTGAAGGCACAGAATGGGAGAACTCAGCTTGGCACTCGTTGCATTCAGAGTTTTGAGGAGAAGTAAACATTTTTGCTAAAGATGTAAGCAGTCGAAAACCTCTGCCAGACAATAAGCCTGGAACCCACGCTGCTATTTCACTGCACTTTTGTTTTGAGGAGCTCCTATAGGCAAGAACAAAGAAGAGATAGCAGCTGTTGTAAGGCCATGTAGTACTGTGCACAGCCAGCAGCCTGGGTTTGGAAAGGCTATTTTGTAAGAAAGTTAGGCACCTTAGAGCCAACCTCTATGTAGCAGCATGTTCTCTGCATGAAAAGCTCCCTCTAGCCTGAGTTGGCTTTGAAGGGTAGGGATAAGAATCTGCACTAGTCCGAGCTGGGGATTAAAACTTCTGGATCCTGAACTGTTAAAAAGAAGCAAACTGTGCTCCAAAATCTGGATTAGGTTTTATGAAGGAAGAATCACAAAAACTAATTGCTGTATTTCTTGAGCAGCAAGTTCTTAGTGGCTGGAGCAGTCCTGTGTTTGAGTGCATCCCACATGGTGTCTGTTTGCCTAGTAAGCACATTATAGATAGTACAGGATATTCTCTTAGAAGTAATTTATTTTACTGATAATGTAATGCTTTGCTAATGAAGAAAAAGATGATTTATAAACTATAATGCCTTTCTTCATTACTTTATTCTAATAAGATGTTTTTTTTATATGAAAAGTTCTGGCAAAATAGTATGAATATAGGTAGAAATAAAACTGGTGATTTTTATATAGCTGAAGTCCTCAGCCCAGTCATAATTCAAAGCAGCATGTATGGTTGTTATAACCTGTTAGTGTTACCACTTTCCCTGAAAAGATTTCCCCCTAAAAATTCTCCTGATATAGTTTGATCCCAAATTACCTTTTCAAAAAAATGTTGTGACGCTGAGAAAATGTTTGCTGGATGAACTTTGAAGTCAAATTTAAAATAATATGATCGTGTTTTTCTTTGACAGAGCATCAAGAAGAAAAACACAAGTAAACAAGAGATGAGCACATACCTGCGGTTCATAGTCTCTCGTATGAAGGAGCGGGTGAGTCTGAAACAGGGACAGTTGGCAAAGTGTTGTGTGCTGTAGGGGATGCAGTGCAGCTGGCCGTGTGTGGCTGCGCTGGAAGAAGTCCTACAAGAGAGTGTCGTTTTATTTCCCTTGTCATAAGCAGTGCGTGTGTTTCAACATACACTTATCATGTCTCTTCACCAAGATTAATATAATTGTGGCAGGAACAGTTTATGCAGCGGGCCCATAGCTCTTTTGAAACTGATATTTTTCAGGTTTGAGATGCACGTAATGTGTAAGACTGCTGATCTGCAGCTGGGACTTGTCTGTTCTCCACCTGAAATATTCCAAGCTGTTGCAATTATTTAATCTTTTGTTTATGTTTTAAGCAGATTCTCAATGCAATAACTTGTACTGTCTCATGGTCCTTTCAGGCTATAGATCTAAACAAGAAAGGGAAGGACAACAAACACCCAATGTATAGGAGGCTGGTGCACTCAGCTGTTGATGTTCCTACTATACAGGAGGTAGAGTGATTTCCTTTCTAACTTCCACACTGTTTAGGTGCCTTTTAACACTGAAGATAAACCTTAAGAACTAAAGCACAATCCTGTTTAATGTTCATTATGATGAGTACTTCAACTTTAAACTGAGCATTGAATATAGGAGCTTAAAATGTCATACTTTTCTTTATAAACAGGGAACCAAGTGAAAATGTCTTGAGTGGTGTCTGATTTTCAGACATAGAGTGTTGTCAATTTCTTTCATATTAGGGTTTTCTAGGAGCTGCAGGTAGCTGAAATCTTTTTTAAAAAGCATGCTTTATTTGAGTCATTGAATATGGTCTTTAGTGCCTGTGTTTGCATATCTGGCCCAATGTTTTTGACTATATTCCATTTTTAACTATTGAGGCATTGTGTAGATGTCAACTTTAGAAACATCTGAATGATTCATAAAGAACCAATCATTTTGTTGATCACAAAAAAACAGGATTCACTTAACATCTGTTTTGCATTAATTGTTCCAAGAATAAAGTTCTAGTATGTTCTCTTTTTTTTTTTCTCCTGAACAGAAGGTCTGATTGTGACTTGTGTAAATCGACACATGACCAAACTGGATAGCATATCATTTTATTTATTGCTGTAACTTGATTGCTATGACATGCTAACATATATTATCCTTTACAAACATAGATGTAAATAAATATTGCTTTATTATTGTTATTGAAAAACATGGATAAACAATAGCTATGCTGACAATTTTGGAGACATCCATTACGGGCTGGATTGAAGTGGCTGAAACTAAAAATAGGTTAGATTTCTTTTTCATTGTGTCACCTTGACCCACTTCCACAAAGGGTCTTTTTGGCCTTGATAACATCCCAGAAATTGAAGACATTTTGTTTAGTGATTGGAATTCTCATAGATGTTCTTCAAAGAGCATAAGAGAAAAGACTGCATTCCTTACTAGAAAAAAGATCTTACTAGGTAAATTATCTGCGTGGCTCCCTGTGGGCTTTTGTTATGGATTTGGAAGACTAAGGCAATCAGCCTGCATCAGAAAGCACTCACTGTCAAGTGAAAATCCTAGAAGTATAAAAGCAGTCAACGTCGATTTGAAAACGGCATGGATTTTAAGGTGTAAAATCTTCACCTCAGGGAATATACCTTTATTTGAACAAGCATTCTGGATCACATCTTACTGCTCCAAATTTACCCTGTCATAACCAAGAGGGTTGTTTTTTTGAACTTAATCAAACATTAAAGCACATATTTTACTGCTGAGCATTGCATGAAGGAACCAATGCAGCCAGTGTTCAGGTACTAACAAACCATGTCGAACAGCTGTAAGTATTACTTCTATATGCTGGAAAGGCAGTGTCTGATAATGCAGATTTCCATGCAGACTTTTTTGCCTTCATGGAAAACAGGTACAGCACTTTGGCAGTCTTTTCACAATCCTGTTTTCTTTTATATAGAAAGTAAATGAAGGAAAGTACAGGAGTTATGAGGAGTTCAAAGCAGATGCGCAGCTGCTTCTACACAACACAGTGATCTTCTATGGAGGTAAAGTGCTACATTTATTACTCGCATTATTTGATTTATCTTTGTCAATAGGAAGCTCACATGTTCAAGATTGGTTTTGGTATTTGATAATCTTAAATTTAGATGAAGTTACTTGAAAGCCCTTACAAATCAAAGAAAGCTATGAGAGGACTTGGTTGGCTGCAGGGTCTGTTCTTGCCCACCTGCTACATGCCTATTTTCATCCTCTCAGCTAAACCTGTCAGTGGGAATTTGCAACTTTGCCATCCTGTTTCTTCTGCAACCAAAACCACAAATTAATCTATATACAGGTTTCTTCCGGGATACGTGTTGCTCTAAAGTAGAAAGAGGTACAGTTTCTGATGTGCTGTGTCAGCAAAAACATTGCTAATATCTGCCTTATTGCAACAGCAGATATGTCTACATCCCCCTAAAAATACTGGTGCCATCAGAAAAGGACCATCAGAAAAGCTGCAAGCCACTGAGGGAATTTAGGGATCATTTAGTAAGATGTGACGATATAGCTGGTAGGTAGAAGCACCACCACCACTTCTAGAAGTCAGAGCCAGGTCCAGGAACAAAGTTCTCCAGAGCTGTCTTTTCAGGAAGGATGTGGTTTGTGGTTCTCCCACGCAGATAGCTCAGGGGAACTGGGACCAGGCTGTGTGCAGTGTCAGGCAACCCACACTGTTGCTAGAAGGGAGAGCGCTAAGAGAGGGAGTGTGCCAATAGAGACATATACAAGTGTCAAGGAAAACCCATAGTGATAAACAGTTTCTGAAGCATTGTCTGAGAAGAAATAGTTATGAGATGTACCTGTGTTCACTCCAGTGGTGACTGGAGAGAAGCATGTCTTAGGGCAATTGGTAAGACTTTAGCAAAGAAAGAAACTGGATCCATATTTAGAGCAACCGTGTCTTGCTGCTGCTGCTCCTCAGATTTATATTTGTACTGTTTGGTTTAAAAGCTTCTGATAGTGTTTTTGCATTATAAACACAAAAGAGCAAGCAAATATAGAACTGATCATTAGAAAATTTTAAATGGAGGTGTTATCCAAATGGCTGAATTATGTTTTGCATTCTAAAGCAAGACAATTGCAGCATGAAAGTCATAGCAGCTGCAGATCTTCGTGAGCACAGTGATCATACTGTGATTGTTCATAGCATTTATTTTTAATTTATAGCGGACAGTGAACAAGCTGACATAGCGAGGATGCTTTACAAAGACACTTGTCATGAAGTAAGTAGCACCAAGTAACCAAGATACAGACATGCTATTTAATTTTTGCTTTAGAAGCTAAGATTCTTCCTGTTCTGAAAACAAGGACTTGAAGTTCAAGCTACTGATTCAGAATTGCTTTTCCATTTTTTGCAACTAGACTATCGTTTGGATAGAATGATATTCAAGTTTTAGTTTTGAAATAATACAGTAATACATTATTGGACTAGAAATAATTGTACTTGCTTGTATAATTTCAGTCGGAAGTGGGATTCCTACCAAATTCTGTAATTGTCATTAAAACATTTATCAATATTCAGAGGAGACCAGAAAGTAAAGATGAGGTGGCTGTCACAATTTGCTCAGTAGAATTTTTTCTTTCAAAATGTGCTTTAAATTTTGATGAATTTAATAACTATGCATTTTAGCTTTAATAAATCATTAAGTGTTCAATTAAGCCCTTCCCCCATGTTTTTTGAAAGTATGAATAACGTTTCTGCATCTTGTCTTTCATCTGCTCTTAAGACATCTCATTTTCACACCTTGTTGCACAGAAGTAATGCCACCCAATTAGCAAGCAGGACTGAAAAATTCTGCCACTTACACTACTGAGCTCATACAAATAGGATTTTTGGAGCTTATTCATATCTGTTTTTGTTTTTCAGCTGGATGAACTGCAGCTTTGCAAGAACTGTTTTTATTTGTCAAATGCACGACCTGACAATTGGTTCTGCTATCCTTGTGTATGTTGCTGACAAGTATTTTTATTTGTTTGTTTTTCTGCCTAAATTCCTGCAGTTTGATCTCATTAATGCATTGAATATTCCATTTCTGTAAGCATGTTTCAGATGTATAATTAAGACTCTCTTAAGTCTAGATATTTAACACAAGCAAAATGTTGGTTGAAGTGCGAGGCTGTATCAAATACGTGTAATAAACTTGATTATCAGACAGTTAAATCACTTTCACAAGAAAATAAGGAGCTTACAGAAATAAAACTTTAGGAAAGGACAAAGACAAGTTTAATTTGGGGGATGCTTAAGATACGTGTTTTCAATAGTCTTTTTTTGACAATAATCCAAGCGATAAATCTTACAGAGAAATATGCATTGTAAGAAGATAAAAATGAAAACAAGCATTAGATATAAACAGCAACCATATTCGTAAGAAACTAGTGTAGCATTACAGTAAAATATTTGTGGTAGAAATTAATATAATGCTTCATATCCAATAATAAATAAAACATTTTTTTTCAGATACCTAATCATGAGTTGGTTTGGGCCAAAATGAAAGGCTTTGGGTTTTGGCCAGCCAAAGTCATGCAGAAGGAGGACAATCAAGTTGATGTTCGCTTTTTTGGTCATCACCACCAAAGGTAATTTATTTATTCCATGTGTTGCTTTCTAAAAAGAATACTTAGATTGAGTTTATCTCATGTATCTTGTTGGGAGTCCTGGCTCAGCTAGTTGCAAGCCAGTTGTTTCAGAAAGTTTAAAGCTCAGTCTAACACATCCAAAGTTGCCAAATGGCTCAGAGAGTCCCTTTCCACAGTTGTGATAGAGTTGTTACTTAATGCCATTTTAATTAAAGAAAGCCAATAAACTTCTGTGCAGAGAACTGTATTTTCAAAGCAATAACAATCTGCTAATCCAGTCCAAGGTAAAAATTGGACAGAAATGCTCTCATCATACCAGCAGTATTGAGTTTGTGCAGTGTCCTCTTCTGAACAGTCACACTGTGTGTTTTTTTGTTCTGTTTTAGCAATATAATATACATCACAAATATTTCTGTTTCACTGCTGGAACACTGATGGAATTCCTGCTGTGAGCTGGTTGGCAATTTCAGAGAATAATTCTTTACACTGGAAACTTCCCAATTTTTACTTCCAAATCCACTTGTTTGTTCAGCATTTGGGAAGGGTATAGTAGGGTTGTTACAGTGGATGTACTGATTTTTTTTTGCTGTTTAATTTATATGCCTATATGTGAGCAAGTATATAAATGTTTGCAAATTAACACATGGTTTTTGGGAAAGTATATATTTTGCAGCATCCCAAAAGGTCCAGAGGATTCAGTAACAGTGTTCGATGAAACTGTTCATTTAAATTGCTTTTGATCTAACTTTAATATGCTTTAATTTGTGCATGAACTACCAAGATTTTCTGTTAGGTGTTAAGTGGATACAACGTCTTTATTTGTGTCACAATAAAAGAAAAATTACAGAAAAGAAAATTACCTCATTAGTAATTGTGGCATTAAGTTCACAAAGCTTCAAACTATTGAAGAAAGTAGCATGACTTGTGGGATCAGGTACTTGTAATTTTTCTGAAGTGTATGCTAGCAGAAAAGGCAAAATAGATTTTGCTAGAGAGTCATTCCTTGAAAAATGGAAGGCCAAATTTCCACTAGGTGTAAATTAGAATTGTTTCTGTAACTTCACGAAGTGATATTTATGTTACAATAATTGAGAATCTAACCATGGACAATTAATTTATTACATTGTTTACTCTTTTATGTAGATGTGCAGGGCAGTAACTCTTTTTCTTTAATATCCTGTGCTACATAGTGTAACCTTTCAAAATGTCAAAAGCTGCCCATCATTCTCTATGAGGACTTTCTCTGAAAATACCAAAGTACTTTTGGAGCCGTATCACTGGTATGAATTCAGCCCAAAAGAGCATGACAGTCTCTGAGTTCAGTCCTGATAGACAGGAGTCCAAGCCACAGAGTATCTATATTCAAAGAAGTGATAATTTGGTACATGCCTTGCTGATTTTAGGAGAGGTCAAGGGCTAAACTGGATTAGCAAATGAATCTTCAGTAAAGATGTTTCTGTGTCTGACAGAGCATTTAGCAAGAGAACGGGCAGCTGATGGGTCTCCTTTTGGAGCTATAGATGTTTGTGGCTCATCAAAAGCAAGAGAGACTTTCAGCATGCACAGCTAATAAGTGCTTATGATAACATCAGTGTCTAATTTGTCACATTTTTCAAATGTGTCAAGCATAGGAAGATCCTGTGTGAATAGGAATTGTCAGCTCTTGGCCACTCTGAAAAACTGCTTTAGAAGTCCATTTTTTAAGTCAAGATCTCTGATCCTTATTTTGTGTTTCTCAACCTGTCTGTTTATTCAACAGGGCCTGGATCCCCTCTGAAAACATCCAGGATATCACAGTTAACATCCATCGGCTGCACGTGAAACGCAGCATGGGTTGGAAGAAGGCCTGTGATGAGCTGGAACTGCACCAGCGATTTCTTCGTGAGGGGAGATTCTGGAAATCAAAGAATGAGGATAAAGGGGAAGAGGAGGCAGAGTCAAGTATCTCCTCCACCAGCAATGAGCAAGTGAGTACCATCACGATGTTGGCATCCAGAGAAATTTATTATAGGATAGAATACAAACATGACATACCTTGGATTACTTTTAAATTAGCCTTGTGCTCTGTCTGCAGTTTTATGGTGACTGTAACAAGATTCAAAGATTTACTTTCCCCATGTTTTGTAGCTTAGTGATAGCAAGAATATACATTTTTTTCTCTTCCCTCTTTTTCTTGCATGACCTCTGAGAAGTTTCAAAATGTTTGTCATCTACACCACCTTGATGAGAACAAACCAAGATTTCTGAAGTTAAGCAGGCATGTTCAAGTTCATGTCATGGATATCAGATGGATGGCAGCACTGCCTTCCTGAACTCTCATCAAGGGACAGCCCTGAGCTGTTCTGCCTTTTCACAGCTGGAGTGTGTTCATTCAGGACTGTATTCTGTGTTACCAGTTCCTGAGCAACACCAACCATGACTCTGTTAGAAAGTCCAAGTAAAGTTAGGTGCAAACACTGCACTTCAGGAGCATGTGACCAGCAACTAATTAAAGTAATTCCAAAATAATTCTGCAAAATAAGAAAAATTACACTGCCTTAACAAATCTGAAATGCACAGAGGGACAAGATAGAAAACTATGCACTGGAAATTCCCTTATCAAAGCCGGGCCTTGCTAGTCATTTTGTGTCCAAGAGAGTGTTTTATATTTGCAGTCACTGACTTGGCAGGAAGTTTTTCATAGCTTGCAGGATGCTTCACTGTATTTTTGGCAACATCTTCACTGGCATCATCTTCTTTCTTCATTTGAAACTACCAACATCTCTCTAAATCTGTATTTCAAAAGATCATTGTGTTTTGACCCTCTTCTCTGCCCTTTAGTCAAACAAGTCTGTCATCTACTTTGTGTCTAAAAACTTACGGCTCATAAAACTGGATGTTGCTTTATGGGGATGCGTCTTAGCAAAGATATTTTTGTTTTGGTTAGTTTACCTGACTAAACCTTTGTAGCTCCCTTTATTTAATTTTGTATATACAGTCATGCAACAGCATAAAATGAAACAAGAAAACAGTCACAAAATTTATGACAGGTAACAGTTTCCCCAGTTTTTCAGGTTTTAAAGTGTCCATTTGCATATTTTCTATCCTGTCTCACCTGTTCATCCCTCACTTGATTAATGCTTGTACCTGCTTCATTGGTTTCCAAATAGAGGAACATAAGAATAGCCATCAAACTCAGAGCTTTAGAGTAATCTGCAATATTCTTGTACTGATGCTAGATGGATGCTTCAAAGGCTTCACTGTAAGGAACTGTAAGATGATATACCATTCACTTAGATCTTAATTCTTCTTTTATTTATTAGATATTGTTGGGTTTGTTTTAGGGATGAAGTACTGATAACCTTTCATGTATACAATAATAATTAAAGCAAGTCTCAGTAATCTTACTGCCTTTCTTTATGCATGTTTTCGTTGTGATAGTTGTTGCTTTCTAGCTTCAACAAGATCTGCTACCTAATTATGAGTTGCTGATATCAGAATATTCTGGAAAACAAGGGTTTGAATTTGCATGTGAAATGAAGCAAAGAATGATTACAGATATTTTAGAAAATACATACTGCATTTTAGAACATTTGTGAGTTTTTGTTCCTTTATCAGAGTATAGTTATCACTGATAATGGAGAAAGTTTACCATGTGCACTTGTTATTTAAGAACTTTCTGTTTGCTAAATTAAGTAATTGCAAATAAATACAAAGAAGACACACATCGTTCGTGTTACAACGAATGCTACTCATATGAACTATTGTTTGGAATGATTCAGTGTTCTTTTCATAATGTTCACAGCTGAAGGTTACTCAGGAACCACGAGCAAAGAAAGGACGACGTAACCAGAGTATGGAACTCAAAAAAGAAGTAAGTAACCTCAATTACAGAGGTTGTAATGTTGCAGAGATAGCAACATAAAAAGTTGCTGAAGTTGTAATAGGTGCACCTTTGGATTCTTTCACTTTTTACTGATTTTGTAACACTAATCTTAGAAATTCCAGCTCCATAGCTTTGTTCTCCTTGCTAACAAACATAATTGTACATGCCAGATTCCAGCCACTGGTGTCTTTATGGTGATATTCTGTATCATGATTAAATCCACTGTCAGTCTACAAGATTTTTTTAGAGTCAGTTCTACTTGCTAAGTAAATGTACAAACAAAAGCAATTCAAAAGTATTTTGCAAGATCAAGAATATTAAGTTCATAAAATACCATAACCAGACTTGTCCATGGGACTTCCTTTCTTGTCTATCCACCTCACAAACTGAATGAACTGGGGGAAACATTAACCCATGGTCATGTAACTACAGAACTGTGTTATTATCCTTGCACACAAGGGGGCAGTTGCTTAGGCAGTCATAAATCTAGCATTAGTCCCAATTTCAAAGCATTTTCTTGTCCTTGTTTCAGCTGCATGATGAACAATGAGGAAAAGTTGCAAATATGCACAGGACTTGGGTCCCTACTACAGAGGAGGGTTCATGTATTTCAGCATCAGAGCTATGTGGGAAGGCCCTGATGCCTGAAATACTTATATTGTATCTGATCCCACAGGACTGTGTCTTCAAGGCACCTTCATCAGTGTGGATGTGACCGTAGTTCCCCTGGGACTGCCAGAAAGGGAGAGTGGCATGTTTCCCAGACTACAGTTTAAGGATGTCTAATCATCCTAATTGTGTTTTCTATCAAGCAAATTCTGTAATTTAAGTATTTTTGTCTTAACATTTGCCTTCTTAGCTCTTTTCATACTTTACCAATGATCCTGAAGTCAATCCAAGTGACCAATTATAGAGTAATTGGTTGCAAAAGGGAATATGCATCATTTTGGTTGGTGTGCCATGTACCTCATCACACTGTCAAGCACAAAAGCCAGTCCTGAGCAAGTCTGGTGCATTAAGGACTGTGAGCTTTGTCTGCACACTGTTAGATGAGCTTTTAAAAATGTAAGTTAAAAAAACAAAGTACATCCGTGTCTTGAGCTACTTCAAATATCACCAAGAATTTGCAAATGTATTGCTTTATCTGTTCTAAAGAGCAGAAACAATCAATATTACACTGTAATAACATAGGGAGCTAAATTAAATACAGTACATTACAGTAACTATGATTTCTTTCCTGATAATTGTGTAATTACAGAAAGCTTCTGTGGTCATCCAAGTTCTATGTTATTGGAATCAAGACTTAGACGCTCATTAGTCTTTCATCTTCAAAGCACCTTTGAAGTACTAATCAATCCTTGCAGCAGTTCTATGAAATAAATGGAATATTATAGTCTCCAGCAGAGCCTGTTGGGCCAGAGTAAGCCCTGGGTTTGCCAAAAAAGTTGAGGCACTGTGGCCACACTGTCTCTTCAGGAAGAATGGTAGGGGGAAAAAACTGTAGTAATCCTTTACTGGTGCCACTGGGTCTTCAGTGATCTGGTATGGTACCTTTGGGGAGCTGATACTTTTTGTTGAGGTTGATGGTACTTTTAGGGAAGCAAGGGTGAGTGTGGCTTCCTTCAGCAGAGCTCCTAGCTCTGGGTCAGAAAAGCCTCCCCAGAAAGCTCATCTACCCAGTGTCAGCAAACACCTTTCACGTCAGCTGTGCTGCTGTTAATCAGATAACATTTTTTCTCCAGAGAGAATTGAGAGTTAACTTATTCTGTTTTGATACCTGGATTTGCAAGTTTGTTCTTTCTCTGTAGGAGCCAGAACCTGAAACTGAAGCAGTAAGTTCAAGCCAGGAAATTCCCACAATGCCTCAGCCCATTGAAAAAGTTTCAGTCTCAACTCAGACCAAGAAGTTAAGTGCCTCTTCTCCAAAAATGCTGCACCGGAGCACCCAGACCAATAATGATGGAGTGTGTCAGAACATGTGCCATGACAAATACACCAAAATCTTTAATGATTTCAAGGACAGGATGAAAGCTGATCACAAAAGAGAAACTGAGAGAGTTGTGCGAGAGGCAGTGGAAAAGGTAACACTTGTCAAACACCACCTACGCCCTGGTTTGAGGAGAGGAGGAGTGGGATTAGGATTTTTTTTCTACATTCTTTTCTACTTTAATAACATCTACCCGTCAGAAAGTAGGTAAAAAACCTTTTTCAAAGAGACCATATAAAAATAGTCTTCAGTATTGCTTTTCAGACAAATTCTTTACCAGCAGGCCTTAGTTTAAGTAGAAAACTCTTGCTGCTTCTGATTCTAGTCTAGTAAAATCAGTTTGTGATCCAAAAGTGAAACTGATTGTTCATTCATGATTATCTGTTGCCAAAACCTTTCTTTGTCTCCATTGTCAAGTGTGTTTGTAAACAATGTCATTGTTTAAATGCTATTCATAAACATTCCTTCTTCTATCAAACTTCTGACCTAAACATTAAAGAGGTTGGCTGAAATTTGTTTGAATCTTCTTGTCTAACAGTAACGTCTAAAAATTTGTTATCTAAGTCTGAGCTGGTCCACTCACAACAGTATTAGGGGCTTAAAGAAGATAGATTTATTCCAGTAGCTATGCACTGACTTGCTTTGCTGAATTACTTTCTTATGGCAGCTGCGTACAGAGATGGAAGAAGAGAAAAGGCAGGCTGTAAATAAAGCCGTGGCCAATGCACAAGGAGAGATGGACAGAAAATGTAAGCAAGTAAAGGAGAAGTGCAAAGAAGAATTTTTAGAAGAAATTAAGAAGTTAGCGGGCCAGCACAAGCAGCTGATTTCCCAGACCAAGAAGAAGCAGTGGGTAAGTCTCAAAACTTATTACAAGGCAATAACTGGAAATGTATAATGTAGACTGCATCCAGTTGTAGGCATTCTCTTCCTTACTTTTACCTGCGTCGCTTTTTCATTTGTCTTTCATCTTCAAGGTTTGAGCTTTCAGATTTCCTTCACCCCCACATTTGAACTCCAGATTTTGATTGCTTCTATCTTATTTAGGAAGTGTTAACAGAACCATCTTCCGTAGCCCAGCCAGATGTTGCTAAATATTTCTGAACAATGTGTAGTTGTACTTCAGATCAAACAAATTTTGCATTATGTTCCCACTCGTTTGATCTCAAGGCCCTAGAGAGTACAAGCCCTGGCTGTATGCATTTGGAGCTCCCTTCTAGAAATCCTCATATTGATACCATTTTGGCCTTTTCCTCCCAAAGCTTTTTCTGCAGCTCTTTTACGTTCTTACGCATTTAAGACATACATTCTCAAATACATTTCCCTCCCTTTTTCCCACTCACCTCGGAGCTTTGACTTTGCCAGCTGTGGCACAGCAATGTGCAGGCGCCTTGCCACAAGATGGCACGCTGCTCTGAGTGACGGACAGCCACCGCTACCCTGCACAGCGCCCGTGTTCCATCCTCTGCAGAGAGCTGTTCTTGTTTGGGCTCAGCCTCGTTAGCCTTTATGGATGAAATGGTGGGCCCTGCAGAGAGAACTGCGTTCTGTAGGGGACTGAAAGAAATATTAAAGCGAGACAATAGGTTGCTGCCTGTAACAGCTGCAATTTTGGGGTTTTCTTTTTAAAGAGAATTCCTTTTGAGCTCCTGCAGCATTTTCATTTTGATTCCTAGTAGAGATGTACTGTGTATGTGATGATGCTGCAGCGTTTGGTTCTCCATCAGTGAGCAAATCCCTCCCTGTGTACCTCTCTCTGCAGACCCAAGAAGTTATTTAGGTCTCAAAGTCAATCAAGTTGCTGCCTGTAATGAGTCACCAGCCCCTGGTGTCTGTGTGCTTTTGCTTGTGGCACTTGAAAAGGAATCTGAATTGGCTTTTCCCACCATAAAACTGTGTCAAACGAGCTCTATTCTGTGAGATGTTACAAGTGCACATGTGAACTGTTGCCACCACTCAGCTGATAAGTTGTAATTCAATCACAGTAACTGGATCGTGAGTCTAGGCTCTTAGCTGGAGCTGGTTGGGATTGTTTCTTTTCGAGGGCAGAATTAATGAAAGACACTCCTGAGATTTCTATTTGTCTGTTCCAATGTGTCTTTACCGTGTCCTTTAGCCTCATCAGAGTGCCATGGCACCACATCTCTGCGTCTTAGGATCATGCGCTTAATGCCTCTTTCCAAGCAAGACAATTAAAGATATAAAGAGCATTTGACAGCTTCACCTTCTCCTGTGGGCCCAGAGCTGTCAGTCACCACCTTAAATGAATGCATCGTGCAGGCAGCTGGTTTTCATGTGCTGGGAGGGAGGGGAAGGATAAACACCTTTGCATTCAGGCTGATGGATCTGCCTGCCAACATGCAGCCTCAGGCAGCTGGAGCTGGTCCAATTACACAACTCCCCAGTGATTTTTCTTTCTGTGGCACTAATGACAGTCCCTGGTGTGTAGTACCACTGTTGTATGCAGCTATTATAATAATGATGCCTCCTTACTAAAATCTCATGTAATTAACACATACTAAATGAGTTTTGGTGGCTTTGCTTTTTAATTAGAACCAGAGACCTCTGGTTTTGCGTAATGCAGATGTCTGGGTTTGGGAATGCAGCTGTTACTACTCATACTGTATTTGTATTTTTCCTAGATTTAAAAAAATAGTCTGGTCAGAATGAAGGGATTGCTTTGCTATTGCTTGACAGGCACACGAGCAGATGTGCTGCCTCACACCTTCTTAAAGAACCACGTTCTGTGTTGCTCTGACTGATCACTGTCTCCTTGGCTTAGCCAAATTTCAATTCTGTACCTTCAGAAAATTTGGAATTAATACAGATACCTCAAGTGCACAGCTAATAAAAGGAAGAAATGGAAAGGCAGAGACTCATGATTTTATGCAGTGTGATGATTTATAACCTCAGACCACAGTGCCACAGTTGTTTGTTTTTTTTTTTTTTTCCCCAGTTATTTCTCTTGCATATAACTATCATTTAAAGTGGTGCATAGTTCATGTTTAACCTCTCTCTCTCCCAGTAATGCTTACCTGTATATTTATTCTAACTTGCAACAGGTTGTTTCTAAGTAACTACGTTTGTCTGTGATGAGTACAGTCTGAAACAAACCTCAAATGATTGATAATGCTTAAGATGTAGAAAACACAAAGGAAAGGAGGACTGAGGCCAGCTGGCATTTTGCCTTTTCTGCCACATGTGCTGGTACCAGCTTAGATGACACTTTATTTCCCTTTTGTAAGGGGAGATTTACATCCCACACTTATGGCCAACATATGTAAAGGGAACTGCAGTGTTTGCAAACTGGTTGTCCTCTCCTGTCTTAGTGTTTTTGATCTCTCCAAGTGAGCAGATGTGAAGCTTGGGGCTGAGGCCTGTGCTGAATGCAATGGAGAGACACAGCTGTTCCCTGTGCGTTCCAGCAGATGATCCTAATGGCTCCCATAGGTTCATGGGCAGCCAGCAACATGAAAAACCAGGAAAGCAGGCCTTGAGAGAACGCTCCTTTGCAGATTTTTCTACAAATAAATTTCCCTGGAGCTAAGATACAAAGAGAAAATGGAGTGGAGAAGTTACCTTCTCATGCAGCTGAAGCAGTCCCTTTACTGGTGATATAAATAAATAATTACTGGTTTAGTTGATGTAAAAGGCAACTTCCATGCATCTTATAGGAGAGTGTAGAGTTATTGCATTTTTATTTTGTTTTAAGACAGTTGGGTTTTATTTCCTTTGTAGTTCTCTTGTTTTATTAACAATGCTGCAGTTAGACAGTACATTGAAAGTACAACCTGTGTTACTCTGTGGTTTGACAGCACCCTGCACATGTCTCCATCTGTTCCCCATTATACAGGAGGCGTTCCAGGCTGAATTCTTAAAAGTATTCTCTGATTTTGAGTATGACAAATTCAGAAAGACAAATTTGAGATTATTAGATCCAATTTTTCAGGTGTTGAGTGTGAGCAGCCCCATTAGCAGCAGTGCCACCCAACTTTGCACAGGCTGGTCAGGCTGACAGTACTGCATACATCTGGAGGCAGAGCCTGCTGCCCATCTGAGTGCCACACTCCCTGCTGAGCAGCACGCTGATTCTCTTTGTTTAAATCCTCAGTGTCCATGGAGTTATTTCCAACTTCCACCAACTTGGGAGTGTTCTGCATGTTCCAGCACAGAAATCCTCTTTGCTGAGGCCCTGCCGAGAGGCAGGTATTTCTGCAGAACTCAAAGACTGTGCAGTAGGTCTTCCTTCAGGAGTTTTGTGCCATGCTGGCAGCCATAAAAGGCAGGTAGCCATGGAGCCATTATGTGTTCTCCAGGCTTTCTCTCATTTCTGAAAGGTGTGAAGGTAAAATCACCTTTTTGCAGTAGCACTGTTGTAGCAGGAGGTCTTCTTGTCACCATTTGCAGCACTCTGGCAATCAGCAGACACGCCTGTGATGGCAGACTTCTTGCAAGCCTACACCAAATGGTCTGTGGCAAACCATGCAGTAGGGAATTATTGTTTTCTCCAGTAGTGTTTTTGTTGTGGCTTTTGGGATTTCTGAAACTTAAAGGGAGATTATAAGCTGGAGGGGAATAAACTTTTTCAAAGAATCATAGAATGGCCTGGATTGAGAAAGACCACAATGATCATCTAGTTTCAACCCAAGTGGGAAGGGTCACCAACCACCAGACCAGGCTGACCAGAGTCACATCCAGCCTGGCTTTGAATGCCTCCAGGGATGGGGCATCCACAACCTCCGTGGGCAACCTGCTCCAGTGCTTCACCACCCTCTGTGTGAAAAACTGCCTCCTAATATCTAACCTAAATCTCTGCTGTCTCAGTTTAAAACCATGGGTGATGGGTGATAGGACCAGTGATAGGACCTGGAGGAATTGTTTTAAACTAAAAGAGGGAAGATTTCGGTTAAGTGTTGGTGAAATTTTTCACTGGAAGGGTGGTGAAGTGCTGGCACAGGTTTCCCTGAGAAGCTGTGGATGCCCCATCCCTGGAGGCATGCAAGGCAAGGCTGGATGGGGCCCTGCTCGTGGCAGGGGTTTGAACTATGTGATCCCCGAGGTCCCCCTTACAACCCAACCCAACCCTAACCAACCCAATCCAAGCTGTTTTGCAATTCTGTGATTATTCCTAGCCCGTGAGGATCTCCCCCAGCAGATCCTGAATGGGTCAGCCTTCCAGACCTCAGGAAGGCAGATTTTCATGTTTGGACAGCACATGAAGGAACTGGAGCTGTTTAGTCTGGGGAAAAGGAAGCTCAGGGGAGACCTTATTGCTCTCTTCCAACATCTGAAAGGAGCTTAGAGTGAGAGCAGGGTTGATCTCTTCTCACTGGTTACAGGTGACAGGATGAGGGGAAATGGCCTCAAGTTACAACAGGGTAAGTTTAGGTTGGACATCACAAAAAACTTCTTTACAGAAAGGGTCATAAAACACTGGAATAGGCTCCCCAGGGAGGTGGTTGAGTCACCATCCCTGGATGTGTTTAAAAACCATTTGGATGTGGTGCACAGGGACATGACTTAGTGGAAGGTTGTTAGAGTTAGGTAGTATGGTTAGGTTGTGGTTGGACTCGATGGTCTTTAAGGTTTTTCCTACCTGAACAATTCTATAATCCTATGTTCACTCCAGGAAATTTTTTATCATAGCTTTTAGGAGGTGGATCGCGATGCCATTATACAAACGTAGAGTAAAAGACAGTTCCTATATTGCGTGGCTGAAAACTCTCAGCCCACTGCCCTGGGAGATGTGCTTTCTTAAATGAGAGATGTGCTTGTGGTACTTGTGTGGTACAGATTTGCTGAAAGTTGTAGCCTTTCTCGGCACATGTGACAAATGCCCTGCTGCATTTGGGTCCCAGGCAGAACAAATACTGCTCTGCACGCACCGCTGCACCCATGAGCAGGTGAGAACGCTTCTGGGCAGCGAGGAGGGATCCTGCGAGGGCTGTAATCTTGTCTCATTTGTTCTCTCCAGTGCTACAACTGTGAAGAAGAGGCCATGTACCACTGCTGCTGGAACACTTCCTACTGCTCCATCAAGTGTCAGCAGGAGCACTGGCATGCTGAACACAAACGTACCTGCCGCAGAAAAAGATGAAAGAGCTGTTCCTCCGCTAGAACATCACCCCGATGATTGCTATTCTCAGACACAGCGGTTTTTGTTTCCAAGAAGCCAAAATTGTTTAGAATTTGCTTCCCATTTTGCACCAGCCTTTAAACACTTTTCGTAAAAGAAATTTTGCACAGTAATTTCAATCTTCTGTTCAGTGCTCCTCCAAAATTTTGCCAGCGGAATGAATTGAACATCTCTGGGAGCAGGTTACTTTAAATAATTTTAAACGAGAGGATTTGTTGCATTTTCAGCAAATTTTAAAACATTTTTAGGTTTTACAGAGATTTTAATCTTTAAAAACAGCAGATCTAGAATTAAACCATGCAAGTTTAACAAAAGGAACATATAAAAACTAGATCTGAATGTAAGAACTTTAGAACTGTTTCAGAAAAACGAAGCATACTACCTTGATGTAACATTTATTTCTTAACCTTGTTGAGCTGGTTTTGTTCAGCTTAATTTTACTGTTTAAAGGCATTATCTATTGGTTATACCAGTGGGTACATGATTGAATTTAGGGAACAGGGTTGACACAGCAGGTGCTACTCCTGCGTATTTTTTCTTAAATATTTCCCAACTGTGTTTTATTTTCATTATTTCTTTTCAATATATAACTTTTATAACAAAATATTAGCTTTGATCTTGTAGTTTAAAATCACAGGGAACTGGGGTAATCTTTTACTGAGCTGGATCTTAGAGAAAAATGAATATTTAAATTTTGAAGTTTGCACATTTCATCTTTGTCCTGACATGAGTGCTTGTAACAAGAATAAGAAAAGCCAAAAAACAAAACCCAAACAAAAAAAATACAACTACCTTTATTCATATGTGGAATTACGAGGCTTACAAATTTTGTTAATGTGCCCCCTTCAGCCTCCCCAATCCAATGTCATCTGACTGCCTACGATCTGGTGTCACCTGGTCCATTGAAACTCGATAATAAAAGGAGAAAAAGCACTTACGTTTCACAGAAGCCGTTATGTTTGTAGTAATGGGTCATTGCCTAATAATGAGCTCCATCACTGTACTCAGAATGAAGAATAATGCATGTTAATTTTCTTGTATTAAAGATGCCGTGATTTGTAAAAAGTCTGTATTTTGCGGAATGTCTGGATTAAGAAGCATTACCAATAGGAATGGATCGATAGTTGAAAAATGATTTTTTTTGGTTTGTTTTATATATAGATATATGAATTGCATCCATGTTCAGAGACAATTTTTTAAATAGATGTAAAGCTTACTTAAATAGCTTTTCTTTTAAAGTGTCTCCGCATTTTAGTTTCTTCTTTTGAAGGCTGGTCTTAGACCAAGTCATACGCCCATTAATCATCCCGCTATTTTTTGAGGAGTTAGAGGAATAATTTGTAAATATTTATTTAGATCTTTGATATTTATTGAAAGCAATTACATGATGGAACGATGGAAGCTGAAGAATCAGGAGGAAAGCCTTTTAAAAAGTTTTCTCTAGGATTTGTCAGGGTCATTGTAAAGATGAAAATACAACTAAGACTTCTGTGAACTGCCATTGGAATCCTGATCTTTTTAATTACAGCGGTGATAGAAGTTAATTGACTTGATACTGCCAAATAGCACCCAACACCTTGTGGAAACTGAGCGGTAAGCTGATGGGAGAAAATAGTACGTAGATGGTAACTTGTATTACCACAGCTACATTATTGCCTGATTAATGTGTAATTAACTTTTGTCGCCTCTGTGTTGTGACTGTAAAACACTTCACAACTAAAAATCAATCCTGTTCAATTACTTTACGAGTTCCAAAACTTCGATCCACCCCTATGAAAGCAAGTTATTGTGGAAATATTTTTGGTGTAAAATCATTCCAGAATATGTAATATTTAACTGATAGCTGCATGAAAGTAAGATTCGTGTTACTTTGGCTTTTTTGTCTCTGTTGACACGGTTGCACATTTCCAAGTTACTACAGCGTGAAAACTGTGTGTTTTAAAGAAAAAAACAAAACAAAAAAAAAAAAGATTGTGGCCTGGTTTTGTATAAGTTTTAGGTAAAATTACAATTGATTGTTTTAGGAATCATGATTTAAAATTAATTTTTCTGCAAATCATAAAGCTATATTAAAGTGTTGAGCTTAGCCACTATGCACATTGTAATTATTCATTGTGGCTGTCCAGTTTATGATGCATTCTGGCATTTTGTAAGCTGCTCTGACTAGCAATATATAGAGTCATTTAATGTGTTAACATTGGGTAATAAATGTATTTAAAAAAAAAAAAAAAAACATCTCGCTGAATGTGTGTGTGTTAATTGTGGCCTGATGCCCCAAGATGGCCCATGCCCAGGGCTGTGGATGAGGTGAACATGTCTGGACTCCCTGAGACCTGCTGCTGCCTGGTGGGGGGTGAGCCAGGAGATCCATGCAAGGACTTGGGCACTGAACCACAGCTCTCGGCACAACGGTGAATTTTTTCAGCCTGTTGAAGTCAGCAGCCCTCAAGGGCTGTGTCCATCAAGTGTTGGTTTTAATGCCTGCTTCTACGTGACTGCAGCTTGTAGCCCCACTTTGGTCTCGCCCATGGCCCCATCTGCCCCTCACACAACCCAGTAACTGCCATGAGCCTGTGCCCAGGCTGGGTGGAATAAGGTAATTGTACCTGGAGGTAGGATTACTGACTTCCTGGTAAACAAAATTTACCCCACAGATCACCACACAGCCCCAGTGGTGCGGTGCCTGCAGCCCCCAGCAGAAGGGGCATTTGGGGGAAGGATTGTCCTGGAGCTCTGTCATGGCGTCAGGGCAGCAGGAGGGATGCTGGGAAGCAATTTCCCCATGTCTCTATGTGGGAATCAGTACCTGGTTAGAGCTGCTTGTCCTAGGAAAATAATCAATGTATAGTTTAAATATTTAAAATCTCTTTTATTATTTTGCTATCCAAAGTTTTCTGTTCTTACATGAGTCATCGTGTTTTACCCAAGAGTGCAAGTGTTTTTCATTCAGCTCGCTAAAACTTGGTTCAATACAAATAACTAGCATAGCTCACATATTGCAAATTAATCATTTATACCGACGTAAACCAACAAAATGGGATCAGGAAAAGGCAGTGGCCCTCTCCCAGTTGCCCTTGCCAGCCTCTGGGCCCAGCACCAGCAGCCCAGCAGCAAGATCCCCTGTGCAATGCTGCAGCAGTGAGTGGGGCTTGCTCAAAGGCATTATTTCTCTTCTTATTGGTGTTTTTCCATTATTATTCTTTTTACTCTGGCTCTTTATTTTACATAAGGATTTTTTTTGCCTCCCGCGTCCTTTAGGTGGAGTGATCAGCCCAGCTCAGGGCTTGTTTGCTTTTCCAGCTCTTCAGTGAGAATGTAAAATGTGTTTGGGATTTGTTACCGGTAGTTAGGGCTACCCAGCCAATTTTAGCCTCACAGAATGCACATATGCAAGCTGTACATATGCTTTCCAAATGCTTTCATTAATCAAATTATGGAGGAGAAGTATGAAAACCAGAAAGGCCCTTACTTCATTGTTTCACGTTAAGGAAATTCAATTGCAAGTGGAAAGGAGCATCCATTTGAGAAAAAAGTTTAGTGTTTATTTTAAGTAGGAGATGTTTAAATCTAACATAAAAGATTAAAAACAAAAAAACAAAACCAAAAAAAAACCATGAAACAACACCACACCAAACTAAACTACCTCGGACCTTCCAAAACCACATGGGAAAAAAAAAAAAAAGCCTCTTTTTTTTTTTTTTTAATGAAACAGATTTACAAAAGCCAAAAGGATTTTAGGAGTACTTTATACACTGCTCCTTTGAAAAGAGCTGCTGGGCTGCCAGAAGCTCCAAACTGGAAAATCAGAAGAGGAGAACCCAGAGCAAACCCAGAGAACAGGAATTTCTGCTGGCTCTGCCACTGCCTGGGGCTGATGGCCAAGAGCTGAGAAATCACTAAAGGCAAATAATGATGGATGGGCTGAAATTAAACACAGGGGCTGCTGTGCAGATAATTTTCACATAAAAGAAGACGAATAATTAAAGATGATACAGAAGAAAGGCTGAGGACTCGGGGAGGGAGGGAGCACGTGCTGTACCAGAAGGGCAGGATGCGTGTGTGCTCGCACAGCCACTGGCCAGCTGCTGTTAGCTGCTGGGCAGTGGAAGCTGAGCTGGTGTAAAGCTTCCACGAGAGCTGGATTTGCCCCAGAGAGGTACCTAAAAATAGCCCTGAATTCTGTGCAGTTGAGCTGGGTGTGCGACATGCTTTGGTGGTGCTTGGGAAAGGACTCCTGCCGCAGAAAGCAATGCCTATTAATAAAGTCGAAGCGCTATTTAAAAAGATGAGAATTCTTTTTTTTTTTTTTTTTTTTTCTGACTATGTTGTTGATGGGAAATGTGCCTTCTGCTGGCAGCTGGCTGCCCCAAGGACAGCATGGAGCAATGCACAGCCTTGGGCCCTGCCTTGCTTGTAGGCCACAGCAGGGGATGTGCATTCATCCCTCATAAAGGGCCTCCAAGGCGATCACTGGCCTCTCTGCAGACACTGAGTGAATGGGGCGCATATCTGAGTCCCCCCAGGACTTCCCCTAACCCCACAGACACTGCCTGGCCCACCAAGGCCTGGTGCCACGGGTTCAGCACAGCTCTACCAGCACCAAGCGGCGATGCAGGCTCCTTCTCCAACAAAATCACAGCCAAAATGCTGCCTTGTTCTCCTCATGCGCTAGGGCAGCAATTTCTTTGGCTGACACAACACTTGATCGGGCTACAGAGCCTTTCTCTGAGTTTCACACGTCTGTAAAGCCCACGATTGCCAGAAGCCTTTTATTTCTCCTGAAGAAAGGGAAGCTCAGTGGGTCAGTAATGCAATTGCTCATCAGTTCCCTGCAGCCACCAGACCCAGCAGTGCTCCAGCTCTGCGCTCCCAGCACTGACAGCTACTGCAGGGCTGCTGGCAGAGCCCTCAGAGCCACTGGCCTCTAGCATAGCATATGGGGTCACTCTCCATACTGAATGCCACACAGAGATGCAACCAATCTACGAATCTCCTCCAGTCCATCTTCCCCTCCCTCCCACCTGCTGGAACCCTTCCTTGGGGCAGCAAAGCAGCACCCAGAGGGTCCCAGCCTGCAGCGATCCTAAAAGATAATTCTTAGAAAGGTCTGAATTTTGAATTAGAAAATCACTTTTGGAGGTTGGGGCTCAGCTCCTCAGAGCAGGAATTTTTGTAATGTTTTTATGGTGGTTTGAACCCCCACAGCTCATTGACTGATGAGCCCTGTGAGCTCAGGAAGCCGGGGAGACTGTCACCAAAGGGTGGTGCTGGGGCTGAAATTCAGCGTGTGTCAGCAGAAGAAAAGAAAAAGGAGGAGGAGGAGGATCATTTTGTTTTGCTTCCTGTCCAGAATCTGCAAGAAGGATGGCTGGTGGTTTCATACACTGGCAAATGTGCCATGAAACTTCTAACAGAACCATTTTACAACAGCATGACAGTCACTGGGGAACACAGAGCTCAGCAGTGGAGCTGGAGATGCCCATCAGAGCATCTCTGAGCATCTTTTCCATGGCTAGCTCTGTAGCCTGTACTACAGAGTTCACTAGGGCTGACTGCACAAAGAGTGCAGAACCAGAACCAAACCAGTAGCAATGGGATTTTGAAGGAGACGCTGTTTGTTCTGACATTCTTTTATCATCCGCTTTTTATTTTTTCTTAGCAACCTCTTTATCCACCATTCAGTCGACTCAATTCTGTGTTCAGGATTGTTTCTGTATGAGGCCACTCACAAAGGGCAAGAGAGGTTTTACAAAGGATTTTCTTGTTGCAAACACTGCCCGGATGGAATTTCAGCTGTTTTTTTTGCCATTTATTGAACTTGCTTATTGCATGTTGCATTCTCCACTCTTACAGGTTATGTGCAACCCTGAGATGCTCATGTGCTGTGGGCACTGTTCCTGCTGACCTGCTTGCTTTCTCCAACACTTACACCATGTCACATCTCTCTTGGGCTGACAAACTGCATCCTGTCTGTGCAGCCCCCCCACAGATGTGCCAGCTGTGACGTGCTGGTGATATAAATGACTCCATCAGATATAAGGAAAGTGAAATGAAAGCACTCACATCTGCGTGCACACACAGCAAAATTGCAATCCCACTTTGTGGTGAGGCTGCAACCTGCTATGCAGCCACTTAGCAAGGAAGTATTTTAGCAAAAATTTTGTTTAGGGAAATCTAGTTTTGTTTGAAAATTTTCAAAATTGAGTGATCCTTAATAGTCGTCTTAGTATGGTTGAAAACAGCAGTTAAAAGCACTTGTGCTAAAAGGCTGAGATAAAATACCTAAAGCCTTTAAGTTGAAAAGAGAATATTGCCGAGTCCACACTTCATCTGCTCTTTACTTTCTTTAACTACTAAATGAGGGGGAAGAGAAGGACTGAATGGAAGCATTCAGGTGGATGTCCTGAGGATCTCCATCACTGCTTCTGTGGTGCCCTGTGCTGGGCCTCTTCTGCAGCATGGCTGCAGAGCATCCTGCAGGAACAGGCCCTGCATGCTGGTGTACATGGGCACCTCAGCAGGTATCTGGGCTGGGGAGAGAAGCACGAATGCAAAAACCCATTTTCGCTGAGCATTTGCTTCCTCGCTTGTGCCTTTTTCCTGACACAGATCTGTTTTTTTAGATTCCTGAACCTGTTGGGTTGCAATAAACTCAGTTCTACATGTTGTCTATTTTCCTAATTCCATCCATCTCCTCTCCTTGGTCTCAAAAACTCTTGGCTGAGTTCTACACATCATCGCTCATCCGAGTCCCCACATGGAACCTCCCTGACTGGAAATGATCTCAGTGAGCACATCAAAATGTTGGCACCTCAGATTAGGTATCTAAATCCAGCAGGCTCTGTGCTCCACTCCCCATGATAATGGTGTGATAGTTAGATAGTGTGTTTGCAGTAGAAGCTTCTAATATCCAAGTATATGCCCTTAGTAAAACTTACAACCTTCTTACAGAACAGCTGCATCAGTTGCTTTTCACACTAAGCTGCAGCAAATATTTTGCTTAAAAGCAGAAACTGGAGTGTTCTGGCTAATCCAAGATAAGGTACATCTGCAGGGTAGGCCTAGCACAGGACAAAACAATTGTGACATCTTAACCTCCAGCACAGGATGGAACAAACATGATAACTGTAATCTCTAGAACAAATGCAGTAACCTTACAAAATACTGCCCTTCTCCAGAAAGAATACAAGATAACTTTAACAACAACAGGTTGGTAATAGACCTAATATGGAAATATTCCTTAGTAGCTATGTGAGGAAGGTTGTGAGCCTGGGATGCTGAACCAGGGAGTAACTAGGAGAGTTGATAATGTGCATTGGGAGAAGGGCTATATAATGGGATGCATTCCACTGGCAAGGCACATGTTAACTTAATAATAAGTTACATTGTTCTATTTTCATAGCCCTACTACATATTTTTGTTGTTGAGACTCTACCTGCTTTTACGTGTTACAGCACCATTTCCCAAAATGATATTTAAATTGCATACTCAAAACATTTGGACCCTTTAAAAATCCTAATCACCATTATAAAAAAAAAAAAAAAAAGTAACAAAACCTTTTTTTTTAAGTAAAACTCTCACTAAAATGGGTTCTGCAACCACTAGCTGCCCTGCCATCCTCCTCTCACCCCCATCCTGCCCCTGCCCTCCCACTTACTGCTATGGGTATGTGGGACCTGTATGGGCACAGTGGATGAACCCCACTGCCTGGCCCTGTGCTCCTCCCATACCATCCTTGTGAGGGTAACCCCAGCTCTGCCCCTCGCTGCCATCACCCCTCGTGGAGCCATGAGTGGGCTGAGTCTACATTTGTTCTTGTAACCTGTAGAGATTTGGATAAAA